CTCCAAAAAAAAAAAAAAAAAAAAATGCCTTCCATTTGCCCAGTGCGTGCACTCTCTGCTTAGCAGGCAGTGCCCCCAGTGGCATTCCATCTTTTGAGTTGGTGCCCATGAAGGTGTGGGTTTGAGGCATGACTACTGATCTGTGCTAGCCATGTGACCTTGGACAGGCTTCCTGTCACTGAAGCTCTCTGAGAGTCATTTCTCTAATGAAATCAGGATATCAATACTGATTATTTTCAGTATTGTCAGTTACACCAAGCATAACATGAGAAAATACAGCATATGACATAGGATTACGTTTGCCGTGATGACCGATATCTGGGGCAGATCCGAGGTTGGTCTCTGGAGTCCGGACTCAGGGCTGCAATGCTAGCCTCCCAATAAAGACCAGATGGGTAGACCTCGTTACTTTTTTCTGGTACAGCGTCAGATTCCTTGTCTGCAATCCCAATCTTACCGGGGAATTATGAGGCCCAAGGAAATCATAGACCGAGCTGATGCTCCGTCAATCTACCCTGTAGAAAAACCCTCACTCTTGGTGGTTGCAGTACCCAGTCTAGAAAATATCTTGATTGGCCGGGCACGGTGGCTCCTGCCTGTAATCCCAGTACTTTGGGAGACCAAGGTGGGTCGATCCCTTGAGCCCAGGAGTTCCAGACCAGCAGCCTTGGCAACATGGTGAGAAAAAAAAAAAAAAACCTAAAAAATTAGGCAGGCATAGTGGTCCCTCCTTACTTGGGAGGCTGAGGCAGGAGGATCATTTGGGCCAGGGATACAGAAGCTGCAGTGAGCCGAGATCGTGCCACTGTGCTCCAGCTTGGGTGACAGAGCGAGACCCTGTCTCAAACAAACAAACAAAAAAAAAAAGAAAGAAAATATTTTGATTGATGGATCAAAATACAGAAACAAAAAAAGAAGGAAAAGGCAACTTCAAGGAAGCCCCTTAAACATGGTATTCTGCTAAAGAAAAATTACAAGGCACAGATTCCAGATGCCAGCCTCATCCTGTGGCAGGCCACCCAAGATGAGCATGGCCAGGGCACTGCACGCGACATACAAAGAAAACGCCCCGTCCTTGTCCCCACTCTCTCCTTGAGGGACTGCCGCTCTCTGGGTCAGTGGTTTTAATGGGGTGATTATTTTCGGGAGGGTAACCTTTCGGGTTGTGATTTGTTCAAGGGCTCAGAGATTATAATGGTCGCTGTCACATTTGTGTAATGGGTGTTGGTGGCCGAGAGCCAGAGGGTGATAAAAGTCCTCCCAGCCCTGCCCGTGTGGCTGTCACTTCTTCTTCCCCTCTCCTGCTCCTCCAAGCACACTTGTGTTCCTCCAAAGTGCTGGGTTCCTCCTGGCTCAGCCAGGGCCATTCCTCCGTGGGCGTTATTCCTTGCAAGTGTGGGAGCCAGAAAGGGAGCCTACAAACAGGGCTCCATCCTTCTTGGTGTTCTAGCAAGTCATCTTCCTCCCTGCCCCTCTGAGATTCAGGAATTTGCTCTCTTTGTACCCAAGTCTGATAGCAGCAGGGTAGGGGCTGTCCCATGCCACATCCTCGATCCTGGTGGTGTCAAACGCAACACCTGCCAGGACAGTGCTGGTTACAATTGCTGCTGTCTCCTGGGACTGGCC